AAAAAAATCATCTAATTCAGGATCATTTTAGCGGCTGACTTTCAGCTGGCTGGAGAAGAGATGCTCATTAAAATAAGACTCAAAGTAATGAAAGTTTACGTTATTCAGGGTTAGACAACCATGTGGATGTGATTTTGCTGATGAATTCCCTATCGCTTAAGGTTTTGACAGCTCCTTGTTTCTGAGTTACATACTCAGGGAAAAAAAGATGCAAAGAGGCTGGAGGCAAACCTCTCAATAACCATTGACAGCATTCGTGTAGAGGAGTGTGGACTTCCCATGAGCTCCTTTGATGGTGTGACTTCTCCATGGTCCAGCAACATACCTGTGAAGGAAGGAAGGCCATTGTCCATCACCACTGTGCTGGCCATGGTCAAGGAGCAGGGTGAAGGGAGGAACCGCTAAACCTTATTCTTCTCTTCTCTGTCTTCCTCTTCTCTCCTTGCGTAATTGACAGTAGAAAAGTAACATGATCTGTTATACTTGCTTTTTGACATTTTCTACCAAGATTTTAACAAAAGTTTACAGAAACCTTGGATTTCCATTCGTTCATTGGTGCACCTTTTCCTCCCTACCCCCTCACCCCAGTCCACTTTGCTATGCGTTTCTTATTCTGGACTGTTGTCATGCAAATAATATCTAATCACATACTTCTTTTAAGCAGTTCTTCCCTCATCTGTTTCAATGCAGTGTACATTATTTATCACCTCTTTTCTTAGTTTCTCCCCAACCCCCATGTCAGTCCTCTTTTATAATAGTGGCATTAATGCAGTATTTGTCCTTTTGTGACTGAGATATTTCACTCAATATAATGTCCTCCACGGTCACCTATTTTGTATAATATTTTACGAATTCTTTGTTTTTCAGTGCTGCATGGTATTCCATTGTGTGACTATACCACAGTTTCTCTATTCATTTGTTTGTTGATGGGCAGTTGGATTGCTTCCATCTCTTTGCTATTGTGAACAACACAGGAATAAACATGGGTGTGCATATATCTGTTTGGCTGGCAGTTCTGGTTTCTTTCGGGTATATTCCCAGTAGTGGAATTGTTGGGTCAAATGGTATATCTGTTTCCAAATTTTTGAGAAAGTGCCATACTGCCTTCCATAGTGGTTGCACCATTTTACACTCCCACCAACAGTGAATAAGGTTTCCAGTTTCTCCACAACCTCGCCAGCATTTGTTGTTTGCTGCTCTGTTGAACTTTGCTGTTGTTACTGGGGTGAGATGATATCTCGTAGTTGTTTTGCATATTCTTGCTTCTTATTGCTCATTTTATTAACCCTGCTTGCTGAAACTGAAGAGGACCTGAAGCTCTTGCTGCAGAGGGTCAAGGACTGCAGCCTCCAATATGGATTGAGCCTCAATGTCAAGAAGACAAAGATTCTCACCACTGGACCAATTGGCAGCATCAGGAT